AAGGATAGCACAACCCAACTTTATCGCCACTCGTACACCGATGTTTAAAGGATCACTGCGATTTCCGATAGTACATTTTCCATCCTTGCAAGTTTTCTTGACGAGGCAGTCGCTGTCCGAATCGCAGTAATAAGGCTCAGAGGTATTAACTTTATATGTGGCACGCTTTGAGGTCACAGACCGAGCGGTGGTTGTTATATTAATGCAGGTATAACGCCAGCAATTCTCAGAAAGTACATCACAGTCATATTTGTCCACACATTCGCAACGTTGGCTTCCCAATTCTGACTTGGGCACACACCGCGGCGTGTCGGCTACTTCGCAGCATGTTTTCTGGGGGACCACAGTAATAACCATGACCTAATCCCGGGGGGGGTACTCCCTAATATGGGCTATATAGGTATGTGCAGCCCCAAAGGGTAGGGTTTTTCAGCCGTTTTGGTCATAAATTGGGTATCGATTTTGGCTATTTTGCCGCCATTTTGGTCATAAATAGGGTAACGATTTTTGCACTGTAGTCTTGAATGCACTTTTTTAGAAGAAGCTACTTCCTTATCATGTCCCCCTAACCTAATAAAAGCAGATAAACATTGCCTTTAACATTGGTCTGAACTAGGGAAATAATTATAAGGCAGGTCTGAAACAGGGTATTGATTTAAGGGTCAGGTCATAAATAGGGTAGCAAATTTTTGGTTAGGTCATAAATAGGGTAGGGAAAATCGCAGATTTTGGTCATAAATAGGGTAAGGGTTTTGGGAAGCGGGCCGCACACCCCTACCCAATTTTTCTGCGAGTACCCCCCCCCCGGGGACCTAATCTCCAGGAGCATTCTTTATAACGTGAGTATCGGCTGTCTTGTGCCTGGGCATATGCAGTGCAACTGGAAATCAAGGCCAAACGTAAGCAAAACGAAGAAAACCACATCAGTCACTGATCAAAGCGCGTTTTTGATAACAAAAAATATGATCGTGCTTCAATATCAATGGCGCCAGGGGCGGTGGATCGAAATTTCTTAAAACGCAAGAAGTAAATAACACCTGGATATTATCTTATAGATGCGATGACTGAGCACTGCTATGGTGCGATATAAACTTAGTGGGATGCAAAAACAATACGTGCAAGGCTAGTGTATTCAAGTAAGACCTAGCTACGCCCTCCTAGCTACGCCCCTGCTCAAGAGCGACTGTTGTTGAAAAACGCCGCCTGGGCGCCTACTGTCAAACTCCGACTCCCATTTCCGTAGACAAACTACCATTTTCAAACTCCCATTCTCGAAAACAAACTCCCATTTTCGAGAACAGACTCCCATTTTCGAAAACAAACTCCCATTTTCAACAAGACAAACGCCGATTTTCAAGTCAAACTCAGATCTCCCTTTAAAGCTTCCGTATCTGTTGTAGTTCAATTTTTATTTCATTTTGTTTTGGGGTATGGTAATTTTATGATAGTGAATTTAGAACAAACGGAAATAAAATTTAAACCAAGGTTAAAATTGAACCACAACTTACTATGCACCCAAATGCTTGGAAATTCCTGCTTTAAGCTTAGGTGAACTTGAGACTGTTCGTCTTTATCTTTCCGTGTGATTGCTGAGAGCTGTTGCCGAGTATGACTTTACACCCATACAATTTGCGACGGAGAAGATACTTTACCCAGCGGGGAGGGACTCCGCATGTGAAAGAGGCGGGGATGCTCGTCGTATTGCTTAGGGGTGTAAATTTCGGATTTTGGTCTCACTTAGGCTGTTCTGGGCAAAACGCCATCATATTTAGCCGTGAAGGTATCGTTTAGGGTTGCACGCAAAAAAATATAAAAATATATATATTGTCTGTGTTTTAACATGGTCTCTTTTAGGGGTCAAAAAAAGCTTGGGCCACGCCCAGATCGGTCTCCTTTAGGGGTTTAATTCAAAATCTCAGACGGTTGCGATCACCAACTGACGTAATACACAAGACTGAAAAGACACTGAACAGTACCCACACCATAGTTGAAAGGGATACAAAGTCATAGACAAGGTATTGGAAAGGGGTACCTCTTTTCGTAAAAAATAAACATTTTTTGAGTACTCGCCACCCCCCGCCCACCCCGGGTGCGATCACTGCCTGACGTAATACACATAAGATTGAGAAAGACGCTGAACAGTAACCTGCAACACCAAGAAACACCCCGCTAACTTACTAGCTCAGTTGGCTGGGTACCAGGGCCCGGTTGCATAAAACCTACACTTAAGTGCCCACTTAAGTAGGTCACTTACGAATCCGTTATGGTTACACTCACTGGTGTTGTATGGAACGCACTTAGCACTCTCGTAAGATACTGTTTTACGTGGTCACTTACGGGCTCACTTAAAGGCACACGTAACTTTGATATAGTACTTTATTAATGACTCACTCTTTTCTTTTAAGTTAACCATCGTTGAGTGTAAAGAAAGTATTAAGTCGTTTCGAACACTTTTAAGCCTCTCAAAAAAAATGAAATTTGCATGCAAACGTTATTTTTCTTCAATATCTACTGAAAATGATAGTTCTTCTTCTTTTTTCACAACGTCGGCTTTAAAGTGTACATCAGAGGTTAACAAAGCGCAGTAGAACGAATTACGTGAAGTAAAATACGTTTTTTCACTTCTCAGTAAAAGATCTCGTTAACTTTACTAAAAACAGTAACGATACGGGCCTACATAGGTCCCGTAAATTTACGTGCTATTTTTCCCGTAAAAAAAGTTTTATGCAACACCCGCAATTTCTGTTGCATAAACGACACTTAAGTGAACACTTACGCAAATCGTAAGTGTACCCACTTAGTGAATTTCCTAAATGGATCACTTAAGTGATTTCATGCAACTGACTTAAGTTACGAGTGCACGTACGTATACCCGTAGTTGTTACGGACGTTTTATGCAACGGGCCCAGAACTCAGAGACTTAGAGCGATGAACCCAGATCAACATCCGGGATCTTCTTAATCTGGGCGTGAGGCGTCATAGAAACCCCTAGGGGTTTAATAAATTCCCCGCAGTGACTAGTCACAAAAGCAAACCAACAATAGTTTGCAACACGAAGAAACATCCCATTTTTCACTTGCTGACGAAGCCCATTGAAAAAGACCCATAGATAGATAGGAGATAGTTCCCAAGGCTTAGTGGGGCTTGGGGAGCACGCGAGACAAACGAGAAGCGCGAGAGAGGGATTGCGGGAACCAGCGTAAGGTGCGAGCGGGAAGTGATCACTCCCTTCGTCCCCGCTTTCCTTCATAATTAACTCAAATATATCCCAGTGATCGAGAGCGACTGGGGACGAGGCAGCTAAAAGCCCAGCATCCTTTAGCGAAAAGGGGTTAGCGCGTGGCGCAGGAGCTCATCTGCCTAACTTAAATACAGTGGAACCTCGTGCCAAGGGACTGGCGAAATTTGTTTGTTAAATCGAAGGTTCGTTATATCGAACACCTCCATTTAACGAATTTTCGGGAAAACTACCAAAATGTTCGTTATATAATCGGCTCCTGACAAAACCCAGCATTTCCGGATCTGAACAAATTACTGTAATAACATTTCGGTACCGAGCTATACATAGCTACGGCACTAGAAACTCAAGAACAGGCAAACAAAACTGCTTAAACCTACTGTACACATAAACGTCATCCTTGTTGACAAGTGCTGACATTTATTCGTTATATCGAGGCATATTTTACGTTTGCGCTTTTGGATTGTGTACGTTATAACGAGGATTTCGTTAAATCGAGTTATGCTCCATACCGAGGACTTCGTTATATAGAGGTTCCACTGAAGTTTAGTTAGTTGATTAATTTCACCATATTAATTTGATCCCACTTTGTATATTGTAATGTAATATATTTAATATTTATTTTATTTATCTATTCAGTTATTTTCATATCGGTTGTAATATACAGTCAGCGTTAACAAACAAATCGCAAAATTCGGTCTCACCATCAAAAAAGTGCTCGAAATGGCGTTGATGGTCATAGACGTTTTTAGACACTATAAACCTCTTAGAGGTTGGAATTTTAAAGACAGGCCACATTTTTAAAGATCTCTTTCCGATATTTTGTAATTTCAGTATTGAGGAAATTTATGCGGAGGAGTTCACGTTTGCTTAAACGTCAGGATCTAATATCATTCAAGACGTTGATCATTTCCGTAACCAGAAAGCGAAAATAAACCTTTAAGTCCCAAAATCTGACAAGTACTTCTCTTTTCTCGTTGCTATACATTTCCTTGCCCATTATTTAAGAGAATTTGGGGCTCTATCAAGATAACATTCTCTAGCTAATACATTGACCTATTCTCATAACCTGTCTGCTGGAGAGTGTATTGACTAGGGGGCCCATCAGAAGTGTTATTTGCAGTTTGCATTACATTTTCATTTTCTCTGGGTGATATGGGCTCCTGATTGATAATACAGGGAGAAGTTACATGCAGAAAAAGCTTCGCTGATGTGGTTTGTATCAGTAGGTTGGCGATATTGAGTGGGAATCGCAATTTTGAAATTCACAGTTTTAAATTACGGCACTTTAAATGGAAGAACCAACCATTTACGAATTGTGTTTCTAAAGTAGTATTTCTCCGACAGTCGCTTCGTAGCTCGGGGGAGGCTGCATTGGTACATTTTCGCTTGCATTTTGTTGCCTCTCAAAATTTAGCGAGTGATATGGTGGAGGAGCACCGGGAAACGGAACATTGTCTCTAATTTCCGCAACAGTTAAGTTGCTATTAGCAACGGTAATTTCTTGTTCCCCATCTTCATTCGCTCCACCTGCTGGGACGCCTACAGAGACAGCACTTCCATTCGATGTCCCAAGAACAGAAGCAGAATGTGATGGATTGTATGCCGGGTTATACGGCGGAGAAGCTTCGGGAGTATCACCCTCAACTTCCAACACTGTTTCTGTGGAAGCAGAGTTATTTGCAGTTTGCATCTCATGTTCATTTTCTCCGGGTGATGTGGCTTCTGTCGGGGATTGTGGTTGATTAACATTCCTAGTGTCCCTGTGCACGTGCAAGTTCCAGTTCCAAAGACATCGTGGATAGCAGCAGCTAACAAACTCATGTTCATCAGTTTCTCTTCCTAGAGATGTGACTTCTGACGTGACCGCAGTGTGATTCGAATTCCCAGGTTCTGTGCGCACGCGCAAGTTTCTTTCCTGCTGTCGACGCTCTCGACGAAGTCGACGTCTCTCTAGGAACCGAGGTAACCAACAGTTACAAAACCAAACCAGTGGTACAGCGCCAACGAAAGTACAACCGAACAAAGTCCCCAGTCGTACGCCTATGTTATCAAAAGGATCACTGGGATGTGTAATCCTACACTTTCCATCCTCGCAATTTTTGCTGCCAACGCAGTCACTGTCCGAATCGCAGTAATAGGGCTCCAAGGTCTTGACTCTAAATGTGGAAGGCTTTCTAGTCACAGGCCGCGCGGTGGTTGTTTTTTTAATGCAGGTATAACGCCAGCAATCATATGTGACCCCATATGTGTCAAAACAATCATATTTGTCCACGCATTCGCAGCGTTGGCTTCCCAATTCTGACTTGGGCACACACCGCGGCGTGTCGGCTACTTCGCAGCATGTTACTGGAATGCCAAGGTAAATACAGTAATAACCACGACCTCTTCTCCACCAGCATTCTTCATAGCGTGAGTACCGGCTGTCCTGTGCCTGGGCATAAGCAGTGCAATTGGAAATCAATGCCAAACTCAAGCAAAAGGAAGAAATCCGCATCAGTCCTGGTCAAAGCGTATTTTTGATAACAGAAAAAAATGTGACCTTAATTCAATGGCGTCGGGGATCGTGAGTGGAAATTTCTTAAAACACAAGGAATAAGTAACACCTTGGTATGACATCATAGAAGCGATGACTGAGCACTGCGATATTAAGTAGGATAAACAATACGTGGCTGGTGCAACGGAAATCTGAAATCAAGTAGGACACGTACAAGAACTGGTCTATGAATAATTAAAGTTCTTGATTTTCGTTTTTCAGCCTTGCTCATATAAATGACCCACGCATACTTTCTAAAACTCGCAAAAATTAATTCCCAGCAAGAAAAACCAATCTGTCCTAATCACAAAAATTAGTTCCCGCGAAACACAAAAAATCGCCAATCCGCAAAAATAAGCTCCCGCACTAAAATTTCGTGCCGCACGGTATGCTCATCACCTGTCTACCGGACAATGAATCACTGAATACAAGCAGAAGTTACATGAAAATAAGTTTAAGGGTTAATCTAGACAATCTAGAGGACTTTTTTTGGCAACCTCGTTGTAACTCGGTGGGGGCTTTCTTGGTAAATCCTCGTTATAGTAAACAGGTGGAGCGCGGACACCAGTTGAGCAGGCTGACGAGCATGGGTTATTGTCATTACCAATTTCTATCACAGCAGAGCTTGAGGTAGCAACGGGGCCCTGCTGCCTGTCAGTTGAAGGCTGAGCACTTGAAGTACGTTGTACTCCGGGGACTAAAGATAAGTGTGCCGCGATAAGATTCGGGTCGAAGAGATTGAGGGTGTTCAAATTACCAGCGGAGGTTCCGGTTTCTCTATTACGCTGACGACTCAAGTTGCATTCCACGATTTGTCCTGATCGGTTTATTTTGAATCGTGGAAAGTTTCTAAAAAGTTGTTTCTTACGGTACGCTCCGTAAAACACGCAAACTATCATTAACACAAAAAAGATCAATACTGGGGCTATAATCCAATATGAATCTCCATCATCCAATTTGAGCACACACTTCCCATCTTTACAGGAGTAATAAGGAGTTAAAACCACGATATATGTCACAGAGAATACTATAGAGTTTTTTCACTCACGTGGTCAGCATCTATGCAAATTTATTGGAACAAAAGAATGCGTTTACATAAGAAAAGAGTTTAACTCCCACAGGATTGGTTTGGGACACCAACATGGCCGCCGTTTCATTGTTTTGGGACACCAATATGGCCGCCGTGAAGTCATGTGAAAACACTCTATATCGTTATCAACCCTGTTCCCAGGGTTCTTACCTACCCGTCCCTACGAAGAGAGAACCTGGGAAGGAGGTTGAATCATTATAACTATGAAACTATTATTTTATACTTCCGCTCTATGATCTCCACTATGACATTGATTTTGTGACGGTTCACAGATGCGTCATAAGAATCTGAAAGTATTCTAGCGACGAGCCAAATTATGTACCCTTGATATGTGCTTCATATCATTTTCCACTAAATTAGGTTGTTCGATATTGAGTCGGAGCAAATTATAAATTTAAAGTGTTAAATTATGGCACCATAGATGGGAGAACCAATCGTCAACGCTGATTTTGTTTTAAAGTAGTATTTCTCTGACAGTCGCTTCGTAGCTCGAGGGAGGTTGCACTGGTAAATTGTCGCTTTCATTTTGTTGCCTCTCAAAAGTTAGCGAGTGATAGGGTGGAGGTACGCCGGCTGGAAACAGAACATTGTCCCTAATTTCCACCACAGTTGAGTTGCTATTAGCAACGATCATCTCTTGTACCCCATGTTTATTTTCTCCACCTGCTGGGACGCCTACAGAGACAGCACTTCCACTCGATTTCCCAAGAGCTGGAGCAGAATCTGATGGATTGTATAAAGGGTTATACGGCGGAGAAGCTTCGGGAGTATCGTCTTCAACTTGTAACGCTGTTTCTGGGGAAGTAGGGTTATTTGTAGCCTGAATTTCATCCGATTACTTCGAGTCGTTATTACTCCCTCAGTTGTTGAGAGGAGAAAACGACTCGAAGCAATCGGATGAATTTCAGGCTAGGTTATTTGCTGTTTGCATCTCCTGTTCATTTTTTCTGGATGGTGTGACTTCTCGTGTCGGAGAGAGACATCGACAACAGCAAACAAACTCATGTTCAACAGGTTCTCCTGGTGATGCGACTTCGGACAAGGCCACAATGTGATTCGAATTACCAGGTTCTGTGCGCACGTGCAAGTTTCTTTCCTGCTCTCGACACTCTCGACGCTCTCGACGCTGTCGACGTCTCTCTAGGAACCGAGGTAACCAACGAGAGAGAATCCAAGTCATTGGTACATGGAAAAGGATAGCACAACCCAACTTTATCGCCACTCGTACACCGATGTTTAAACGAACTCGGCGATCTCTGATAGTACATTTTCCATCCTTGCAAGTTTTGTTGACGAGGCAGTCGCTGTCCGAATCGCAGTAATATGGCTCAGAGGTATTAACTTTATATGTGGCACGCTTTGAGGTCACAGACCGAGCGGTGGTTGTTATATTAATGCAGGTATAACGCCAGCAATTCTCAGAAAATACATCACAATCATATTTGTCCACGCATTCGCAGCGTTGGCTTCCCAATTCTGACTTAGGCACACACCGCGGCGTGTCGGCTACTTCGCAGCATGTTTCTGGGGGACCACAGTAATAACCATGACCTAATCTCCGGGAGCATTCTTTATAACGCGAGTATCGGCTGTCTTGTGCCTGGGCATAAGCAGTGCAACTGGAAATCAAGGCCAAACTCAAGCAAAACGAAGAAATCTGCATCAGTCACTGGTCAAAGCGTGTTTTTGATAACAAAAAATATGATCGTGCTTCAATATCAGTGGCGCCGGGGGCGGTGGATCGAAATTTCTTAAAACGCAAGAAGTAAATAACACCTGGGTATTACCTTATAGATGCGATGACTGAGCACTGCTATGGTGCGATATAAACTTAGTGGGATGCAAAAACAATACGTGTGAGGCTAGTGTACTCAAGTAAGACACGTACAAGAACTTCATGTCTATGAATAAATAATTCGTTGTGACGCACGCGTTTTCAAGTGCCCTTCTTGAAGAACGACCCTGTCAAATCTGACAGGAAGGGCAGATGTACGGAAGCTTTAAAGGGACATCTGAGTTTCACTTGAAAATCGGTGTTTGCTTTGTTGAAAATGGGAGTTTTTTCAAAAATGGGAGTTTGAAAATCGGACTTTGTTTTAAACTTCGTCCCAGGGTGTGCGGTTTCTTTAGCCGCGTTCGGTTGACCTCAGTCACGGCGAGAAGTTTAGAGGATTCATGTAAAGAGGTAAGCTTTTGTAAACATAATACACTGATTCCTTTACAAAGAAGTACTCTATCTAAATCCAGTCATTATTCTTCTAGGAAGAGCTGAGTCTTGTTCAGATATTAAACGAGGACGAGGAAAGCTCAATTGACTGCAAGGTTTTAGATCGAGTACTTTATCGTAAAGGAACCAACTCGACAAGAGCTTACCTCTTCACAAGAATCCTCAACACTTGCCATTTTTTCCACCGCTCCGCACAGTCTGGGACCAAGGCTTAAGAGCGACTGTTGTTGACAAACGCCGCCTGGGCGCCTACTGTCAAACTCCGACTCCCATTTCCGTAAACAAACTACCATTTTCAAACTCCCATTCTCGAAAACAAACTCCTTTTTTCGAGAACAGACTGCCATTTTCGAAAACAAACTGCCATTTTCAACAAAACGAACGCCGATTTTCAAGTCAAACTCAGATCTCCCTTTAAAGCTTCCGTATACGTTGTAGTTCAATTTTTGTTTAATTTGGTTTTGGGTATGGTAATTTTATGATAGTGAATTTAGAACAAACGGAAATAAAATTTAAACCAAGGTTAAAATTGAACCACAACATACCATGCACCCAAATGCTTGAAAACTTGAGACTGTTCCTCTTTATCTTTCCGTGTGATTGCTGAGAGCGGTTGCCGAGTATGAGTTTATACCCATACAATTTGCGACGGAGAAGATACTTTAGTTCTAAGCAAGGCTACGTCACACATTTTTTCTAGTTTGCACTGTTGCAGACGGGTGCGATCACCAACATTTTTTGAGTACCCGCCAGCCCCCGCCCGCTCCGGGTGCGATCACTGCCTGACGTAATACACAAGATTGAGAAAGACGCTGAACAGTAACCTGCAACACCAAGAAACACCCCGCTAACTTACTAGCTCAGTTGGCTGGGTACCAGGGCCCGGTTGCATAAAACCTACACTTAAGTGCCCACTTAAGTAGGTCACTTACTAATCCGTTATGGGTACACTTACGGGTGTACATGAAACGCACTTAGCACTCTCGTAAGTTACTGTTTTACGTGGTAACTTACGGGCTCACTTAAAGGCACACGTAACTTTGATATAGTACTTTATTAATGACTCACTCTTTTTTTCAAGTTAACCATCGTTGAGTGTAAAGAAAGTTTTAAGTCGTTTCGAACACTTTTAAGCCTCTCAAAAAAATGAAATTTGCATGCAAACGTTATTTTTCTTCAATATCTACTGAAAATGATAGTTCTTCTTTTTTCACAACGTCGGCTTTAAAGTGTACTTTTTTCACTTCTCAGTAAAAGATCTCGTTAACTTTAGTAAAAACAGTAACGATACGGGACCGTAAATTTACGTGCTATTTTTCCGTAAAAAAAGTTTTATGCAACACCCGCGATTTCTGTTGCATAAACGACACTTAAGTGAACACTTAAGTGCACCCACTTAAGTGAATTTGCTAAGTAAACCACTTAAGTGATTTCATGCAACTGACTTAAGTTACGAGTGCACGTACGTGTACCCGTAGTTGTTACGGACGTTTTATGCAACCGGGCCCAGAACTCAGAGACTTAGAGCGATGAACCCGGATTAACATCCGGGGTCTTCTTAATCTGGGCGTGAGGCGTCAGTGACTAGTGACAAAAGCAAACCAACAACAGCTTGCAACATCAAGAAACATCCCATTTTTCACTTCCTGACGAAGCCCATTTGAAAAGGACCCATGGATAGTTGGGAGGTAGTTCATGCTACACAAGTCCTGCTTCCTCCACAGGCTTTCCCAAGGCTTAGTGGGGCTTGG